ACTCTGTTTTCAAAACAAAATTGAGAAGTTATTTTATTAAGTGCACTGGCAAATACTGAATTATTTTTAATTTCGGGGTGGTGGTGGTTAGGGCAACCAAATGACTAGCATCAGCCCTGCAGACACACAATCATTGAGCCACATTGCCATCTGTGAAACCCAGTACAAAAGCAGACTCACATATTAAACTACATTGTGTTCTAAAGTGACACTTTCTGTGTTTAGGGACTTTAGTGCAATGTGACAAATTAAATTAAATGTAAAGGTATTCCACAAATTTGACTTTTTTTTCTATTCTACAGATATGGCATCATTTTTTACCAAAATAAGAGCACTTTTTTGTTGTTAAAAAGCAGATGAGCCAGCTGTGACTCAGACAAGTCTCTCATATGGAGACAGATGCATACCCACTGAACCAGTTGATTTAGAGTAACAGGCTCAAGTACTTGTAAACTGTACATATTCTAAAGGGACATTTTTTAAGTTCTGCATAACAGAAGACATTTTCATTAAAATGCAGTGTTTCTATTGTTCATATAACAAATTCAAATAAATTATATTTAACTGTAGTCTACAAACTTAAATGTTCTTTTATTTTACACATGGCAAACTGTAATATTTCATTATTTTACTTTTGAAATGTGCTTAAAAAATAAAAAGGTATTAGCAAAAAATTGTGTTAGTACTTTCACCGTTGTGATTTGAACGCACAACGTTCTGATACCATTGCACCACAGAGCCACTGGTAACGTGTGTTACGATAACACATATTTATAAAATGTATTATGCAACTTAAAGTGATCTTTTCAAAGATCTGCATCAGAGAACTTTCTCAATAAAATGCAGCGTCACAGTTTCTAACTGCAGCCATTGGTTGCATCAAAAGCTCACAAACTGCTGATAAAAAACAGTGATGTAACACGGCTGTAAACACCAACTGGTTCCATGTTTTTAATACATAATGTCACCAAAGTTTTGAAATAGATGAATAGTTTTTTTCCGAAACAATTATAAAATTCAACATTTGACATGTGATTGTTATGCTGTTGTCAATTACAGTAAATAACAGCTTTATTTTTTTTCAGTGATATTTCCTCAGCATCATTATAACAGCACCAGCAGAGTCTTTCTGCCTGTGCGTAAGTGTTTTAAATTCATGTTTCTCCTAAATGACTGAGATAATAGACCATAATGTGTGCATTTTTTTCCTGCACTGCAGGGGGTTTCACTGTAGTTTGCTGGTGATACCGATGGGTTATTTGTGTAAGTTGGTCAATTTTTTACTGTAATTTTATTGCACAAGTAATTGTTTGGTCCAGACAAAATATATATATATATATA